GGAAGATTGCACAAAAAGTATAATTAATTTTAAAAACAGTTAGATATTATGGTAAAAACGATCTTTTTTGGAATTCAAATGAAAATTAATAATTCTATACAAAGATTGGAAGATGATACCCTTCTGAAATTATTTGGTTCACTTGAGAAACTAAATGTGGCTAACAATTACCCAATTTTAAAGTACGTTTTTATACGAGAACTCCGCAAAACAAATTGTAACATGATAATTTTGTTGGAATTTTTTTGTTCATTTTTGTCTAAATTTAACTTAATATAAGGAAAACGCATTTATAGTTTTGATCGCTTTGTACGGTTCATTTAAATCACCGCTGTATTAAACCGATACAGTGAACATGCCTCACTTAATTGGCTCAGCCCAGTTTAGCAAAAATTTTTTGTAAATTTTTGGTTTGGCACAGGTTAAAAATTTTTAACAACTAATTTTGAAAAATGAGTCATTTCGAAACTGAGTTTTCTGTTCTTTTTCTGGATATTGAATATCAGGTATCAGGTCAAACACAACTTGGCCGATTTCAGCGGCACCGTGGTTCCTCGTGAAAGTTCTATACGCAAAAGGAAACGACTTTGACTGTCAAAAAAAAGCTTCGCTCGACCAAATTACTCCGTATGAAAGGTGGAACAATAAGAGAAATGGATCCTCAGACAGGCTGGATAGCCTTTGATAGATCCTCTGCTAATCGCAGAAAAAAAAATAATATTAAGATTGTTGTTTCTGTTATTCGCAGATGATCTATGAAAGCCTATCTAACCTGTCTAAGCATAGTCCGTTTCTCTTACTTCCCCACATTTCAGACTGAGTTTTTAAGCTGAGCGAACCTTTTTTGTGACTCAAGGCCATCTTTTTGCGTCCAGAACTTTCACGTGGTACTACAATTGCAGCCGTAATCGCTCAGATTGTGGTAGACTAGAAAATAAAGGTCAAGTGAAAGCTCGTCCTCACACACTATCCTTGCCATAGCAGGGGATCGATTACACGAGCTGACGATGGAAATACTTCTAGTGGAAAACCTGTTGAGAAAATTACCGCAGATCTTTCCAAGGTAACAGCTTGGTTTGAATGCAGTAAAGTAAAAATTGATAGAAATAAAAGCAACCCCACCGGTTTTAATCTGAATTTTTTTCTCATAAAAGGTAAGCATTGACAAGCATGAATTTGGCAGATTTCAATCATCGGGTGTAGTTTAATAAAGGAAGTTGAAATTTATCAGAACTATTTGATGAAGTTTATCAAAATTTTGTGATGCAATTTAGAAAAAAAACGATGTCTTTCTCCGAACAACAGCTGTTGTTGTGTTGAAATACATTATCCGCATCCAGTTTCAAGCGTTGATAATCGAACATACTTCCAGCAAAAAAAAATTCCTTCAAAAACTTAATTAATTGAACCGTTAGGAGCTTTAATTTTTTGATTTTAGCAGAAACCAATAATTCAAAAGCCTACAAGGTCACTTGTGAATAATATAGACTC